ACCTCAACAAAATTGGGGGAGCTTATAATACCTTGGCGTGGTGTCGGCGTCCCTTAAAGGGTTTAAATTTTTTAAGCAGTTTTTTTTAAGTACTTCTATGTCCTATATTGATTAACAGATGTGAAGATGTTTCTAGTGTGTTTCATGTACAGTCAAATTTTCAGATGTTGCAATTTCAGAAGGAATATCAGGTAATGTTTTTGGAGCAGGTTAACATTTTTGGTGAAAGTTTTTGGTGAAATCTATTTCCGAGTACATAAGCCCAGTTAAAAAAATTGCATGGATAATCTTAGGACACACTCCAGGCTTGTTTTGGATGCTGAATCTGACCTACATTTTCCGATGAGACAGGTTTAGTTTTGGTGCAGGTCCTTTTCCAAAGTAACTATAGCCTGACCAAACTTGCATGATGATACATCTGAGGAGCATACTACCAGATTGCTTGGGAGCTGAATCTGACTACATTTTCCGGTTAGTGAACAGGTTAAAGTTTTGGTGCAGGTTTCATTTAAAAGATACTATAAACCTATAATACCAAATTCATGTTTGTACATCTTAGGATGACTACCGGGCTTGCTTCGGATGCTGAATCTGACCTACATTTTTTTGTTGAGTGAACAGGTTAAAGTTTTTGGTGGCAGTATTCCTTAAAAAATTTCCAAGCATTCCCCTTTATGGGCCATTTTTTGGGGGAAATGGGCACCTAAACTTGGCCATGATTGTAACATTTTAGGATGATACTACCAAACTTGTTTTGGATGCTGAATCTGACTATTTTTTCCCGTTGAGTGAACGGGTTTAAAAGGGTTTTGGGGAAAGATTCTTTTTCAAGGGTAACTTTGAGCCCTGTAATGACCAAACTTGCATGGATGGTACATCTAAGGGTGCATCTACTAGGCTGGCTTGGGATGCTGAATCTGACCTACATTTTCTGGATTAGTAAAAAGGTTAGTTTTTATACAGTTTCATTTCCAAGTAACTTTGAGCTCTATGTTGAGCAAACTTGCATGGACTACATCTTAGGATGCACACTAATGGACTTGCTTCAGTGCTAAATTGACATCTTTCGTAAAAAAGTTATGGGTGCAGGTTATTACCAAGAAACTATAAGGCTTATATAACAAACTTGACAAATGATGCATCAAGGGATGAAAATTCAAACCTGCTTCAGATGCTGGATTTTAATTATGTTTTATGATGAAGAACTAGTTTGAAGTGTTTTATATAGGTCTATTCCAAAGTATCAAATTAAAATTCAAAATTTGCATTTTTGGATGTACACTTTTTTGGTTAATTGTGTGACTTTGCCTTACTTAAAGACAACATTCGTTGAGGTGAGCTCTGTAATTTCTGATTACCTATGTTTATGAAATCCAGCTTGTTGGTCACGTAGCTTTCTATCCACTGTTTCTTTCATTCTTTTCAGTATGATTTTATTAAATACCTTCTTAGGAACATCCAAAGGTTATTTCCCTATGGTTGCAATCGCCAGGTCTACCTCTATGAAGCTTGATGAGGTATCCTTGTCATTCTTCAGGGATTGTTTCTACCTCCAATTTTCAGAAAAAGGGGTGGAATATTCGGCTGAGTTGTCAACTTTGCCGGGATGTTATCAGGGCCTGCTGAATTGCCATTCCCCGTCTATTTTAAGGCTTTTTATTTCCTACTAGATGGAAAAGGTGGACCAGTAGGTTCCCAGTCTCTTTTAAAGGGCTTCATCTACTGGTGTAACAATATGAGGATTAGGTGGAACTGGCCTATTCAACAATTCTTCGAAAAACTCCTTTTCATCTCTTTCTTTGTTCTCTAGTTATTTCCCTGTCTTGTCTTTCACTTGCCTTCTTGTTGCTTTGCTTCCAAACTAGCTTCTTGGTGATTCAAAAGGCTTTCATCCTTCCCGCTTTTGCAGCTTGTTTGCTTCCGTGGCTTGTTCCTCAATGTAGTTTTTTGTCTGTTTAAAACTTTCTTTTGTTCTCTTGTTAGCCTTTGCATACTTTTTTGTGCTTTTTCCTTTTTTCAGATTGTTCTGTTTGAATTGATCGACCAGGGCCCTTTTTTCCCTTTCCCCTTTCCCTTTACTTTTCTGAGTGCGTCATTTGTGATCCACTCTTCTGATAATACTTTTTATTCCAAATACCTATTTCATGGCAGCGGGTGGTGGTGGTCTCTTTTATCCCTTTCCAATTAGTTCACCTATTTACTGTGGTGCTTGGTATTTGTTTTTAATCTTATATCCTGTAAGATTTGGGTATCTTGAGAAAAAGCCTGTGTTTTTTCTTTTCGCTAGAGTTTTTCTGTTTTCATTTTGTTGAGCTTTTAGTTTGTTTCTCCTGTCAGAAGACAGTGATCTAAGGAACATCGTACTCTTTGACCTGGATCCTGAAAATCTTTTAACTTTTTTTTAATGTTGATAAAAAAGTGAAAAAAATCTTACTCATTTTAGTTTTATTTAAATTGCTCCACTGATAACCCTAATACGGTTGATAAAAATTCAAACTAAACAACCAAAGCATTAGTTGAAATTTTTATTCTGTACTTATTTACAATGTCAGAGATAAAAAATGACCAATGGAATTTTATATACATATGTAGAAAATAAACGTAAATTAAAAGAACCCCAATCTATCCCATTTCTCGGGTTTTCAGAAACAGTTTGTAAGCACATATTTCTGCAGGGTTCTGGAGTTAGTGACTGATAAATGGACTGCGCGAAGTAATTTTTCCTGGAATGGATCTGAAGATTCTCTTCTTTTGTTACCTACAATCGTAAAAAATCTTAACTTGGCAAGATTATTGAGACAAATTTAAACAACGATACAACAGAATTTGGATATATCTATACATAGCAGCATTATACACAAAATTGAACAGTAGAAAAGTATAGATATAGTTCCGGGAAATTTCTATCATTTTATTTATAATAAAGAGTCTTACTATTCTGTACGAAAACATGCTATCCAAGCAACAAGGAGGGTTCCAGCACAGGTTAGAATAATGATGACACTTGAAATTCATAGAACTTTCACCACAATACATATAAGAAAGACTGAATTCTTAAAAAGTTGGATAATCTTGAACAATTTGATGTCATTAAAAGTATTAATTTAAAGGTTAATATTGACCTATTACCAAAAATAGCTTTTAGAACTGCCTTTCAAAATTTACAATTTTCAAATGCTAAATAGTTTACATGTACTTGTAACATAAACATTTGAAATTGCAAATTGGTGAAAAACAGTATTAATTGATTTGATTACATACTAATCATCTCCTTTTATATTAAAAAAACCCCCCGCCCTATCCCTTAAATTCACTTAATTTACTACCGGTATTGTTTCCAAAGCAATTTTGATTTTCATAGCATGATACATCAAATCAGAAACGTTGTGGGTGAAGGCAACATTGATATAACGTGACAAATCTCATGTAATGGTTGTGATTTGTAGAATCGCCATATTTCAATAGTTAATCTGACAGCGACCTTGTTGGTGAATACCTGATAAATCGAACTCTAAGCATAAATCCCCCCTTTTATTTGGCTCGAGATTATACACTGCTACTTATCTAATGGAACCAGTTTATTGCTAAATCAAGAAGTAACTATGTACATGTATCTAATTTAAGATTTTTTTTTTCGGGGCAAAAGGTGTCTCACATTTGCCATTACACAGATACGAAAATTTGATTTCAATTTTTGTACCAGTGACACCGAAAAGACAATAAAGTCGTCTGGCGTAGAGACAATGAGGAATTCCGTCCACACACGCGGTCCTGCTGGACATTGTCACACTAGTGTTGATTCCATATCTGGTGTCCATGGGAACGCACGTCAACAGGGGCTCCTACTTTACTCTTCTGTTCTGTAACACATATCTGTTAAAAATAATAAAAGTGGAACCAATCATGTTTCCGATAATTGACGAAATGTATTTAGATTTACTTGTATTTTAATTTGATGATGTACCCTTTCTTTCGTCAGTGCCATCTAGACATGGTTATAGCCGTCACAGAGATATGATAATGGTTTCTCAAAGCCTCCCTCATCGTACACCGGATACGGATTAATACAACTGCCGTCAGCACATTCAAAACAAGCAGGCTTCCCCAGCAAAGACCCACTCTCCAACGGACTGTTTACTAAATAATACAATTCATAATATTGTAAAAGGGTATTAGCACGTATTTTTGAAAATATGTTTTTAAATCTTTCTTTATGAATGTCAATCTTTTTCAAAAAAAATGTTTAGGAAAAAAGAAGAGAAAAAGCTCTACAGCAATATTCATCCCTCCTGTTTTGACAGTCAATCTTGCCGTCACATATTTGGTCACGTGGTATGCACTGGACAGGGGAACAACGGAAGAAATCAGCTGGACAGGAGGTCACTGGAAGAGTCAATACAGAGGGTATGTAACTGAAGGAGATATCATATTGGTCACTCGGAAAAGTCAATACAGAAAGTATGTAACCGGCAAGGAGATATCATAGCTAATTGTTTTCAGTGCCAAATTTGAATTTCCACTTACACACAATCTGGTGTATAGATTAAGGTTTCTACTTGGTGATAAAAAGTCGGATTTTTTCCCTATTGACTTGTTGAAAACATGTATAGAATGACATATATTTACCTTCCTTAAGAACCTCTATCCTGATTACTGGTTTTTCTTTACTATGTGTCACATTTCCAGAATTGTTGTACACAATCCGTAGATAGTTTCCTCTAGAAAACCACCCTCTCAATCCCAAATGACATCACAGACTTTATATGACGTAAGAGAGTCGATGTCAGTACCGATACATATCATTTCCAATATGTAAAAATAACTGATTTCTACATCCCGGAAAGTCAGGTACGTAACGGATATTTAATCGGAACAGGTACCCTGCGTTTGTTTTAAAATTAGTGATACACTTTTGAGCACCAGTACTAACTTTTCCTTGAAATGTAAGCGACTGATTGGGTGTCAAAATTGTTGTTTTTACAAAGTTTCTGATTTTGCATTTTTCTTTAGTTGTCAAGGCATCTGTAGTTAAAAATCGCTTTAAATAGATTGATTACTTTCGGTTCACATTCTGCTTTCATGTAGATTCTAATGATGTATATGGTTGAAAGCAAGTCACAACTTCTATAAGTAATCAAAATTTCAATTAAAGTTTCTGTACTAACACTCCATTAATTTTGACTTTAATAGTCTTAAAATTTTATTAAGATGTATGCAACACTTTATGAAATATTAAAATAAACACGACTTCGTGTCTTGTCTTTCGCCACAATTTTATCAATGTTTCTCTTCGACACTCAAACCAATTTTGATGATACATACGATTTACCCAAAACGCGAGAAAAGAAATAACATTTAGACAACATTTAAATTATTAGATCACCCATAATTGAAAACGATTCGGATTATAATAAAATGGTTGTAAATATTATTAAAAAGAAGCACGTTAGTGGTTAAAGAGATATGCTGAGGAACTGAAAAAGAATACCGAAAAATAACGTCATTATGACGTCAGTAACATTCTTGCTGTGCGTCGATAGACGAGACCTTACGTTGTGTTTATCTAATTTAGAAACAATAGCAAAACATTAATTTTATATGTTTTACGGTGCATTAAGTTCAAAAAATAATTAAAACCGGAATTATAAACAAATTTTCATGCAATGACTTTAAAAAAATATATGCGCATATAATTTTAGTTAAAGTATATGAATAATTTGTAAAGGAATAAATCAATGGTTTGAAGCATAGTCATTTATATACATGTATTTTTATCATTGTAGACCTAACAACGTATTGAATGAAGAGTGTATAATCATATAATAGATATAGATATCTTACCTTGATTAAAGCTTATCAGAATGACAACAAACATACAAACTGTAACACAGAGAGCAAGAAATCAGATTTATAATCAGATCGTAAGATTTATGTGAACAGGTAAATATTTTAAGGGCCGTGACAAAACATAGTTTACTTCGATGTAAACATCGTTTTTATGATACTTGAACCTAAAAAAAATATCTTTTAAAAAACAAAAAGTAGGCAAAACGTTTTAAATAATTTCCTATGCACATTTTTCTTAATTTTAAAATCTCACTTATGAGAAAAAACTCGACACCTTTCAAAAAGTTGAAGAAACGAAACTGCCGTTGATTTAATTGTATTATTCAGAAAATATTAAAAAAACTAAACATATTAATGAAAAACAAAGTGTACTGCTACCAAACTCTGGAAATACAAATTTTGCGAGATATATAAAAACAGACACACGGACAAAGTATGAAATGTAAATTAACTCACAATGACCGGGTTTCATCGCTCGTACATCGCTGTATCCTTCTGATGATTGTTATGGAGAGGTTGTCATATAACGAGATCTTTGTATTTTGATAAACTAAGGTTTATCATAGTATTCGCTGCACTTCACAGATAACAATTACATGTGTGTAGATACTATATACATATCTATCAGAGAGAGAGAGAGAGAGAGAGAGAGAGAGAGAGAGAGTAAAACAAACTGTAAAAATTTTTGCCCAAAATAAAATTTTTTATTATTTATTTATTTTAAAAAGAAAGAAAAAAAAGCAAATAAGAAACTTGCTTAAAATATAAAATTGATAACAATGAAAAAAAGATTTCATACAAGTAATTCATACATATAAATGTCCTATATTCTTATTAAACCACAATAAATTATCCTGTGAGCAGTCTTTAAAAGAGTTGTCAAACTTGCGACTGTACTTACTAGTACTACAAACATGTTATGAAAACAATTGGTCCAATTAGCTTGATCAAATATATTTTATATACCTGCATAGCAAAAACACAACAGACATTTGTGTACATTCATGATTGAGAGGTAAAAACACAAGTACATGCAGGATAGAGAGATATAATTATAAGATGTAACTCATAGAATACGTTGATGGGCA